CTCTCTCTCTCTCTCTCTCTCTCTCTCTCTCTCTCTCTCTCTCTCTCTCTCTCTCTCTCTCTCTCTCTCTCTCTCTCTCTCTGGTTTTTTGCTCCTCCACTGGACAACATTCTAAAATGTATAGGGTCATGGTAATGGTCCCTATGCGTTCAAACTCTCCAGCTACCGGATCCGAGACTCGGTACTTGTCTATGTGGGCGACTGAAGTGCTCCAAAAGGGCAGCCCAAGTTTCAATTGCATTTGAAACTCGGTCCCTTATTGGACTGCAGAAACCAAGTTTCAAATGCTTTTAGAAACCGTTTTGGTGACTCGGTCGTAGTTACCTTTTTAATAAATGTAGTCAATCAACTGCAACTCTCGTTTTAAATATAAGTGTTTTAAATGTAAGGGTTTGCGTCAACGTATAGTGTTCGGTGACTGCTTACTTTTTTTAGTGGAATCAATATACAATGGAAAAAATATTTACAACCTACTAACCAATCTAATATCTTAAACTTTGCGATCAGGAGAGAGAGAGGCGGGGGGGAGCAAAGGGTCAATTTGAATGTTACCGTACGTGGATTACTTAAACAATTAATGAGTCGTCAATCATAATTGATAATGTAGAGTCACACTATATATATCACAAAATTTATGTGGTCGGTAGGTGCCTACATTTTTTATCGGTATGAATGTTTTTGGGCTCAAAGTGTATGGACCAACTGACCAATATAATAATATTATAGTCAGTAAGAGAAAAGGAGTGAAGGGACGGTAAGGTGGATGGGGACGAGAAAGGCGTACATAGGGGTATGTTTGGGGTAGTGTTGGAGGATGAAGGATAAACTATGCAAATCAGCAATCATGATCTTGTATGACTCACATGATTTATAAAAAAAAACACTTATATCATTTTGTTCAAGTTCACGAACAAAGCGCGGTCAATCATTATCATACATTATAGAGTACACTCTGTGTACAAGAAAATTTTAAAGGTCAGTAGGTGCCTCTGGTTTGAGCTGGAAGGAAGGAGGCTAGGGGAAAATATTAGGCACCTACCGACCACAAGAGCAATGCCGAAATCAGTGTGATTGTGCAAAAAATCCATAGTAACAGGAGGGGGGGGGAGGGTGTGCACATAATATCATCGCAACATCTATTTCATCAGTTGAAGAAAATGGTGGCGTAGGCATAGAAAATGTACAGACACAAAACCTCTCACCCTGATTTTTTTTTTATATTGCTATATTGCCAAGATGTATAAACAAACATGTCATATGTATCTCACCTCGTCATCTCGTCCCCCCCCACCCGACCAAATCAGAAGCTACATCGAAGTTTTATATATCAGAGATAATACCTAACTTTTTTTTTTTTTTTTTTTTAATGCAGCTGCACACGACTGAGATAATTAAAGGCAAAAGAAACAAGTTTGATCATGATGAAACATGTTGAGACAAGTTGAGACATGTTGAAACATATTGAAACAAGTTGAATCATATTGATAAACATGAAAAAACTTACCGCTATAATTTTAATCACAAATTAATCTGTTTAAAACCAGATTAAATTATGCTCTCAGTAAATCAGTGATTATGCCAAATTATAAACGTGTCCATCTTGCCGACTTTTTTTTTGTTGTTAGGGCTGCCAGATCGTCCACGTATCTGAAGGTGTCTCTAAAACATTCGACTAATTCAAATTTCTGCGCGGACACTAGCCTCATGATTGTTGCGAATTCGTACCTGAAAAAATAGATATCTCACCAAATGGGTGAACACGACAGACCTATCGGGATCCCCAGCACCTGTCTCCATACATGCGCGCCCATCTGTATCCAGTTGTTGGATACACACCATTGTGATACCCAGATAATCTCCTCTTCGTCAAATAGAATATATCCTTCCTCGCTTGTTGCCTCAGGATCTGCCCAGGAAGGATACAACTTCCCGTTTGCAGATATGCGCACTCTGACTATGTCATTGGAACTCCTCTCCCTTCTATGTTCCAAGGCGCACTGCACGAAGAACTTCACTGCTGTGAGCAGACTGTGTTCTGATTCATCGGTCGGTATGGTCTCAAAACATCTTGTGATGTCAGTTGTATATACAGAAAAAATCTTCTCAGGAAGATTAGTTGTGAATTCTCCTATAGACACCACTGGCCACCAGAAGTTGGGCTTAACGCCATTGCGCTGCTGTATTTGCTCCGTCAACTGATTGCAGTATGTTTGTGCGTTGGGGACCAAGAACCGCAGAAGGCATGCGCACATCTCCGCCATTGGTGAAATGATTGAGTTAGCTGTGTTCATGATCCACCTGAAGGTGCCTTTGTGCGCCTTGTAGACTGTCATCAGCTAGGGGAGAGAGAGCCCGCCCGTCGGTAGGGGTTCCAAACAGCGCAACTCCTCCTTCAGCCTTCCCACTATTGAGTACGAGAGTTCATCAGAAGGTACGAAGTCTGGTCCTGACAGCCTCTGGAAAGCTAGCGCGCGGATGAAGTTGACACATACAAACATGGGAGTGCTGGCCGCTTTGTCCGTAGGTGCAATGAGGAACTTGTCTGTGAGGGCGTCAAATCTCATTTCTCACCTGCTTGTTGCTGAACGGTTCCCCGACCATGTGCCTATGGCTCCCTAGAAAGGTTCTCATCCTCAGTTTCGCCTTCTCAGAAACCAATAGCTTAATCCTTTTTTTTTGTCGTCCATGTAGGTCCGCTATGTCCACGTGTCTCAGAAAGAGTTCGTCGAGCAGAGTATTGACTTTTGTCAATGCCTCGTTTGTATCCATGGCCTTCACAGGGATGTGGTTGAGTCCTTTGTCCATTATTGCCTTCAAGGACGCGTTCAATGTGATTGCCATATTAAGTGTGATGACGTGCGCGCAGGCGGAGTCCGGCTTCAACTCGAATGTGTGGTTACTGCGGAAGGGTGCATTCCTGGCTGCGTTGCAGTGGCACTGCTCCTCCTTATACTCGTTGCGCCAGTAATCGAGGTTAAAATCTCTGAATGCATCATGTGGTATGCAAAGCTTGGCTGTGATGGCGTCGTTGTACTTCCACCCGAACATGACATCATCTAGCCATCCGTCAGCGTCCTCCCCTACTACTCGTTCCAGCATTTCCTTGATTATCTTCCTTATGTTGAAGGCCTCCATGATGTGACTCGAATATTTCATATGCAGACATAGCGTTTTGTCCACGCGTTCCCTTAGCCACCGTTTCCTTCCTGTCGGGAGACGCACCTTGCATCCTATGGATACGGGCTCAGTCCTTGGTTCCTGCTAGTCACCACATTACGAGGCATCCATCCGAGTTTGAGAATGCAAGTGCCAACTGTCTGCTGCTAATGGCGGGTAAGCATATAAGGTCGTGTATACAAACATCTATACATAGGGTGCGTGGGACGTCGGGGGTGAGGGAGGGGAGGGTTGGCAGACTTTTGATAAAAAAAAAGAAGAAGAAAGAAAAAGAAAAGAAAAGAACAGAAAAGAAACAAAGAGAGCCGAGAAGAAGAAAAAAAAAAAGAATGACAGAAAGAAAGGAAGGAGGAGAGGAATCGAACAAATTTAGGAAGGGAAAGATCGTAGCGTGGGGGTGAGAAAGAAAGGCGCGTAGTCAGCGTTTGGGATGCGCGCTTCGTGGAGCTATCGGATCAGTGTGCGGATAATTGATCGATCGCAATCGCTGGGATCCAATCTTGCCCGCGGCGTCATGCCTCCAGTTGAGATAGAGGTTGCGAGCTGCGAGCAACCCTGCTCATGGTGCAAAGATCGAGGAGTTCCGCTCTCCTGCTGCCGCGGCAGCTGCTCTAGTGGTCGTCCTTGTATCCTGCAGGTGAGCACTCGTGACTGACGATGATCCTTGCGATGGGTCATCATGTTCCCTTCTTCGGTTGGAAGCAGTATTTGTGGAGCGTTGTTCGACTTGCGCTTCCTGCTCTTGTGCAGGCCGCTGTATGCGTTGGGCATCTTCAGCCTCATTGACCTGTCTTCTAAGGGGAGGGGGAGGTGGCAGGTCTTGCTGCGCTGCATGTTCAGCTCTGATTGGTTGAAAGTTAAGCCTCCCTTGCCCCGGGATCTGTACTTGCTCATTCCTCACCCTCCTCTGCGTTCTGGTTCTTGGTGAGATCGACCTCCGTCTAGCGGGAATTCTCGTACGGAGGATGATCTTCGCAAGTGTAGGTGGAAGTTTGTAGTCCCAGAGTCTCTGGTCCTTCATGACCGTCTCAGCATCTAGCGTGTCATCCTGCTCGAGGTTCTTCACGAATCCCATCATGACGTGTCGGATGTTGATGAAGGTGATGTAGTCCAGTATTGTCGGCTTCCACGACGTGCGGAGAAAGTGAAACAGCATGGAGGTCTGCACTCTGACGGAGGACATATTCAGAAAGAGGATGTCCGGATGCGCTAGCAGGAACCAGAGGGCGTGATCAAACCATATTGGTCCTCCTGCGCAGTCCACGTGGCTATCCTTCCCGCATTGGCACTTGAGATACGGTCGCCTGGTACTCCAGACCTTGCGTAAACTCCTCAGCTGGAGGTTGGGTGGCTGCTTGATGCCCTTTTGCCAACATCCAGGCGAAGTATCTCCACAATTGTCCGGGTCCAAGTAGGACATGGGTGAGAAACTGAGATCTGTTGGCTCGATGGATTTGCTCGTCCTTCCTGCATGCTCCAAGCTTCCGTCAAGGGCGATCTCCTGGCACCTGAGCGCTTCCTCATCCGAGACCCCGGCTATGAATTGCAGTGCCTTGATGGTCATGGGGGAAAGATGGTTGAACGTATCCATCTTACAAATTGCATGCATGTAACCCTGGCAGGTATGCTCCACCCATCTCTCAGACGCCAGGGGTGCAAAGGTCGTGAACTGGCTCCCAGGTTCGGCTGCTGTGTACCTCCTCATCCTCCGGGGAGGAGTGACTCTGGCTGCTGCTGAGGCGTTGATGGCTATGATTGCTTGCTCCATCTCCATCATTTCCTCCTGCCTAACCTCAAGGGCTTGTGATCTAAGCTCGCGTCTTGGTTGCGTTGCATTAGCTGGTCCTCTTCTAGCTCTAGAGGGAGCAGGTCCTCTGATATGCGTATCGCTCAACCCCCATGCGTTCAGAAAGATCCTCTCTACCGCTGCTATTCTCGCTGGTAACTCTACACATTCCCTGGCGTACTCAACTCTTCTGATTTCTAACTTGGCCGCTATTTGGTCCAATTCATTGCGGAATTCTCCCTCCGACCTATCCCAACTATTGGCAGGCACGGCTAAGTCACTGAAACCAAGCATCTCGAAGAAGTGCGGGAATCTCCCTGAATCCCAAACGACTCTGATGGCTGCCATGATTTCCGGCTTGATGCAAGTCATAAGTGTCTGTGTGGGTTTGCTGGGCCACGAGCACTGCGTAAGGAGAGTTGGTGAGGGAAGGAGGGGAGGGTGATGGAGGGTGATGGAATACGAGGAAAGGGACGGGAAGGAAAGGAAAGGAAGGGTGAGCGGGTTAAGGGGGAGGGGGAGGGGGGAAACAAGGGAACAAAAACAGGAACAGGAACAAGAACACGATTGTAAACCTTTCCTTATTTTCCATCGCTATTTGATGTCAACCTATTTTACGCCCTGTTTTCACGATAGCCGCTTCCGTGAGTATCCCTACCCCGCTTCTCCGCCGATTCTCCGGTTACTACGCTCACTCGTCCTATTCTCTGCACTGCCATTTTGGCAATTGTTCCATCTAGTGTGGTCGATGGGAGCGCCCATCCCCAGAGATGCAGAGGTCATGAAGCCCCCATCCTTAGTGTGTTTTGGGTGTGTGCACAATACGCACGCCATTCCACGTTTCGAAACTGTGGATGGTTGGGCTCCGGCACTAGCTTGGCCGGCACACTATGGAGCTCTGGCAAGAGACAAATGCTGCAGATGCGATGCGGGGATTCTTCGGAAAATAGAGAGCTCTAGGGGTTCTTTTTTGGAAAAAACGGTTTTATGGGTCTTGCTGTCATTTTTAAAAGGCGTTCTTTATTGGCACTTATACAACATTTTATGGCAAGGTTTACGTGTGGTTCCGGGGGACAGCGAGGCTTGATTCTGATCTGATGCTAGGCCGTTATCTTTTCAGATTATAAGTTATTATTAACTATTATACTAGTCGTGCCAGACTGGTTAACCGCTGCCTAGGGTGGTCAGCGGATCCGGCATGCTGACGTGGACACCGTCTGCGCTCAGAGTTGGCTGAGTGTTTTAGGTGGTGTGATTCGTCAATGGGTGCCATGATCGCCACTTTGGTGCATGCTTGAAACGAGGCTGGGAATGCTGATAAAAAAGAATAACCGAGAAGATGCAACGAAAAGGTTTGAGAAAAGTTGAAAAGAATCACACTAATAAACTTCGATCTACCCTTTCTTTTCGCTAAGAACTTTTCATACTGCCATTAAAGGCAAGAGAGAAGTACGACAGAAGAGAACAAGCTACAAGTGCAACTCCCACACGTATTCACGTGATGAATTCATAAGCATCGTAGGAGCAATATGCTTTCAACATACTGTGCAGACACGTGCCATTTCTTGTGCTTTAAAAAGGGGGAACGGGGGGAAAACTTAATGTTATCACTTGACATTCTCGGGAGTGTTTCTCTACAAATAAGGGTGGGATATATCTTTCAAGAGCATGCAGTCATATATTATAATTTTGAAGCTACTATCGATCCATTCAAAATTTTACGAGAGACAAAAAGATTTCCGATTAGATATGCATAGCAAGGAACGAGATGGTCAGTCCGATGATCATACATACGAGAATATAGTAGTTAAGTACAATCGAGATGCGTTGACAATCATTCATGCAACAACACGAGCAAGAGACGCTTTGCGTAAGATCACAAAAAGAAAAAGAAAAAGAAAGCGAAAAAAAAAAAAAAAGTAAGGAGGAAAAAAGCAGAAGGGAGTTAGAGGAAAGGAGGAGAAGAGGAGGAGGAGATTATGAGAAGGAAGAAAATCATCAAAGCAGGATAAAACTTAGATTGCTAGAAAATTCAATCCCGCACGAATGAAAAATCTCTTACAAGAAATTGTTGATGCATTACACTTAAAAAGGACAGCAAGAACTGAAGCAAGGGGCCAAGGAAGTGAGGGGTTCAAAAGGGGTATGTGAAAGAGGGAGTGAAACCCGCATCAAGCCTTTCGCTGGACAGGAAGGGACGCATCTGTACGCTGCGTCCGCTGGCCGACTCGCGGGAGGGGGTGGCTTATCCCTGAGGCCTTTCTGCTGCACCACCAGCAGCTTTATTAGAGGGGCATCCTTCGTAATTGAAAGATGCAGAACATTTGTGTATGGGAGGGGGGCGAGTGTGTGTCGGGAGGGAAGCATCGTGTTTCATGTGGGCGGTGGTAGTTGTTGAGGGTGAAGCCTGAGCGTGAGGTGGTGGGGAGGGTAGTGGGTCCGTGGAAGTCGGTGGTGCGGATAAGGGAGCTTGCGCAGGATGGTGGTGCTTGCGTTGCAAGGCTGCGGATTGGCTAAAGCAATGGCACTACTGCTGCGATGGTGGGGGAAGCGTGGCTATGAATAGCATGAAGGCAAAGAAGGTCATAAAAGCGATAAATGTTGTCAGAAGGCAAATAGCGTTCGTGCTTGCTGCTGAGCCGTTCTCCTCCTTGTCCTCCATGGGTCAAACTTCCTCCTTACGTCGTGGTTGTTGTTATTACGCCGGCTGCGAATCCGAGTGCGACTGGGGAGAATTGCGAGCGCGAAGCCTGCCGAGAGAGCACAGAAGCTGAGAATGAGGGCATGCGCAAGATGGCAAGGGGAGGTTGCGAGAGGCACGTGAACTGCTGCCAGGTGTTCTCCGTTAGAGATGCTAAGTGGCGCTGGGCACTCCATGGCGCAGGGTCGAGTTACTGCGGGTAGATGAATACCGTCTCCTGGTCGTGCACTTCCGTCCGGGCTGCTAGCGCGTCCAAGTCCAAAGGAAAGTCCATTCTGGCCGCTGAGCCCTTTGCTGATCGTCCACTTGTTGAAGAGTGCATCACAGAGTCCTCCGAGAATGTCGGTAGATAACCGCTCCTGCTCCGATTGTGATGCTTGGTCTCGCTACGCTAGTTCCTAAATACTACACCTGCTTACTACCCGGACTCATCTGACTGCCCTTGAGAAAAACGCCCCGTGCTTTTTTTCTTGAATTGGATACAAGTGTTGGCTTGCTTATTCTGTCGAATCCGTATTAGCTTGCTTCGGCCTAGCAGGGTAATGCCGGGTCTGATCGGGTCTTCCTGCATCTTGCCGACAAAATGGCCAAAGACGTATTTAGAAAATCGTCATGGCAAGGTTACAGGCGTCGTGGTTGACACGGGACGTAGTGCGTAATGGGCGCCAACTTCGAAAAAATCAAAGGGAAAAAAATTCAAACGACGGATGGAAGGATGGAGACAAAGGAACAAAAGGACAGAAAGCAGAAGAGACAAGAAACAAAGGAAAAAAGAAAAGAAAAGAAAAAAAAAAGGAAAAAAAAAAAAAGGAAAAAAAAAAAA